TATATATATATATATATATATATATATATATACATACATACATACATATACATACATACAAAACAAATGAATAACCAAACCTCATGATTTGGTAATCGAAAGTTTGAGAAAACCTCTGCAAATGGGACACTGGTGGTAATAATATTTTTTTCTTGTCACTCTACTGAACTTTATAAAAGGTTTTTGAATTACTATCCCAGTTCTGGTTGATAACACATCCTTTCACTTCTTGTTACACTTTTCATTGGATCAAAAAAGTGGAGAAGTGGGGCACTAGCAACCAAAATATATCATAAAGAACATCACACACTCATAAAAACACACTCACACTCACAAATACACCACGCACACACATCACAAGCACTTGGTGAAATTAGTTACTGCTGGTAGGAGCTGGAGTAATTGTGGGTATGAAGTAGCATGTTATTTGCTTCATGTGACAGCACTGGGCCAATCAGGAGTCCATAGCCCTATGTAAGCACAGGACTTTCCCTCCACTCTTGGTGGCTGAACAGAGTGGGGGAGAGACAATCAGTATATGCTGCTGAAAGGCAAAGAGAACCTGTCATAAAAACAGTGCTGTAAGTATAAAGTGCAGGCACCCGCATATGTACACACAGGGTAATTACCCAACTGGGTAATCAGATTGTTAATGCAAAAACAGCTGAACATAGTTACATAGTATTTGAGGTTGAATAAAGACACAAGTCCATCAAGTCCGACCCCCTGCGTGTATGCACATGGGTCTGCTGGTATGTGCGTGTATACGAGTCCATGTGTGATCTTGTTCTTAGGAGTATCTGTACCCCTGTATGTTATGGTCTCTAAGGAAATCGTCCAAGAGCTTCTTGAATGATTCCACACTCTTAGCTGAAATCACTGGCAGCGAGTTCCAGACCCTAACCGCTCTAATTGAGAAGAATCCCCTTCGCCCCTTGTGCTGAAATTTTTTCTCCACCAATTTTAGGTGGTGTCCTCTAGTCTTTGTTATGGGGTTAACCGTAAAGAGTTTGTTGCCAATGTTGCTATCACCATTGAACATTTACATTTACATTTATGTACATGAAAATCATGTCCCCCCCTTAATCTCCTTACTTCCAACAAGAACATATTTAAATTTAGTAGCCTTGTCTCATAGCTCTGATCCTCCATCCCCTTAATGAGTTTGGCTGCCCTCCGCTGGACACTTTCCAGCTCAAGGACATCCTTTCTGGTGACCAAAACTGGACCGCATACTCCAGATGAGGCCGAACCAGTGATCTGTAAAGTGCAAAATTATAGACTTGTCTCTGCAATACATCCCCTTCTTAATACAGGACAGGACTCTACTTGCTTTGTTTACAGCAGCCTGGCACTGTAAGCTATTATTCAATCGGTGGTCTACAATGACCCCCAAATCTTTCTCCATTTCTGACTTCCCTAGTGGCATACCCATAATTGTATAGCCCATTTTTAACTCCAAAGTGCATTACTTTGCATTTATTGACATTAAACCTCATCTGCCATATAGTTGCCCACTCCCCTATTTCATCCAGGTCCTCCTGTAATGTTATAATGTCTAAGTCCGTGTCAATTACCCTCCCAATTTTAGCATCATTAGCAAACACTGAAACATGGCTATTCACACCCTCCCCGATATCGTTAATAAACAGGTTGAATAGCGTGGGGCCCAGCACAGAACCCTGAGGCACACCGCTCATGTAGACCAGTCTGAAAAGGTGTTATTTATCGATACTCTCTGTATACGTGGTGTACAGATATTACTGGTCAGTGTTACTGGTTAGAATTGCTAGAAAACCCCATCCTGTGAAAGCAGCAGGCCTTTATCCCACACAGAGACCACGGAAGTACCTTCTCTGGGTGAACGCAGCTGGGGTTTGACGCAATTTCCGCTTCACTACGATCACATTCTGGAGACAGCAGACTCCCTATTGGTGAAGGGCGCAAGGGGTGCAAGAGTTGTGCTCACTTCCAGCCAGTGAGCACCGCTTTTCTCACATGTGGGCGGTTCTGGAGGGCTTCGCCTAGAGATGAGGTAGTTCTTCTGCCATCAGTAAGCATGGCTGCTGTGGTTTCTGCAACTGGTAACCACTTCCAGTTCGGAATTAGGGACTTCCTGTGAGTGCAGAGATGAGAGGGAAGTGCAGGAGTGTGTGGGCGCCAGCAACAGGCACCTAGGCTCTCGTGCCACCAGGGAAGCCACTGTGTGCCCTCTGTGGCACGTGTGCCATAGGCTCGCCATCACTGTTCTAGTAGAAGGTCCCTGGAAGAAGATAGAGATCTTTAGTTGGAAGGCTGCTACCAGTACCTGGAAGCCACTGCTGACAGACCGCTACTGCAACAGTGCTGTCTCTACAACTACCTGCACCGAGACCTTATCCTGCACAAGAGGGACTAAGCCAAGCTCAACTACCTGTCCACACCTGGGGCTACTGGTGAACTTGACCCCGCTCTCTCCCCGCATCTGCTCCCCTCCAATTCTCTTACAACTGCACCTGACCTCCACACTTACCACATCATGTGAAAACCTTAAGGTCGATCGGCGCTCCGTCGTAAGTGCGAATGGTCGCAAAACAGGTAAGTCGGTAAGTGAGGAACATCTGTAGTAACATTTTGCACTTGGGCACGTGCTTGTAATGGTCTCTTTTTTAAGGATGATATTTTGACTCCATATTGTGTTCATATTGTTTAAACTACTATAAATAACAACATAGGAATTTGAATGGACTTATTTTAAATCTCAGTGTTTACATTATTTATGAATTTTTTTAGGTTTATGAATGGAAACAGTATGAAGTGACCCCAATGCAATATCCCAAAAATAAATGAATACTAACATGAAATAGATTACGAAGGTATTAATATGTATTTATGAAGATGCCTGAGCCTAATGCAACTCCAGATCAATATTAACCAAACCAAAAATAAAAACACACATGGTTAATAATTGTATGAACTGAGATTAAAGCAGAACTGAAGTATATAAAAAAAAAAAAATACTGACAGCCCAATGGCTAAGGAATGAGAGCTGGGGTGAGGGAGCTGTCATCACTGGGAGGAGGCAAATGAGATGCCATGGCAAAATCCTATAATGTGCAAGTATTCAATATATGATCAGATCTTCTAAGTATCACTATCTAATGAAGTGTTACTGTTTATTACTATAAGATAAAAGCCAACAGCAAGATTTGCCAAGGCAAAAAGCAGTAAATCAGCAGTACAAGAACAGCTTGCAGTGCCAGGCTGCTGTAAACAAAGCAAGCAGAGTCCTGTCTTGCATTAGGAAGGGAATGTATTGCAGGGACACGTCTATAATTTTGCCACTTTACAGATCACTGGTTCGGCCACATCTGGAGTATGCGGTCCAGATTTGGTCACAGATACTCAGAAAAGATGTCCTTGAGCTGGAAAAAGTCCAGCGGAGGGCAACCAAACTCATTAAGGGGTTCGAGGACCTGAACTATGAAACAAGGTTGTTAAAATTAAATATGTTCTCTTTGGAGGTTAGGAGAATAGGGGGGTGATGATTTTCTTGTATAAACTGTTCAATGGTGACAGCAACATTATTAACAAACTCTTTACGGTTAGCTCCGTAACAAAGACCAGAGGACACCACCAAAAATTGGTGGAATAAAAATTTCAACACACAGGGTGCAAGGGGTTCTTCACAGTTAGAGCGGTTAAGGTCTGGAACTCGCTGCCGCAGGAAGTGATTTCAGCTAAGAGTGTGGAATCATTCAAGAAACTCCTGGATGAGTTCCTTGGAGATCATAACATAGAGGGGTGCAGGTACTGCTAAGAGCAAAATCACACATGGACTCATAAACACGCACACACCAGCTCAAACATAAATGCATACACGCAATAAGTTGGACTTGATGGATTTATGTCTTTATTCAACCTCAAATACTATACAACTATGTAATTATGCAATTATTACTAATATTTCTGAACGATGGTCAGTTTGTGATGGAGCCATCTGTTGTATGTATACATTTAATGTATGGTGGTGTGCAGTGTGGATCAATTGTTTATTGTTCAGTACTGCACCCCTAAATCATACTAAAATTGCAAAAGAGACGCTGGACACAGGAGGGGCAAATTTTATATTTTAATGGCAATTATCATGTCACTATTTATTACATGTATTTATATAGTGCTGACAATGTATGTAGCACTTTACATAAGTCCCTAAAAATGTTATATTTTTTGAGGCTTCTATACCCATGGCAATCTATTCCCTTATTGTGAAATGTACAAAGACATAGAAACCCTTATCCAGGTCTGTGCATGATTCCTCTGGAAGAACAAACATGCCCTATAGCAATTCATAAACTGTTCCTCACCAAAGATGATGGGTGCATAAGCCTCCCAAACAGTATACAACCTGCTACATCTTCTATTTGACTGGCTCTCCGGTCTATCTAAATATTCTAACCACTGGTTATAATCTGCAATTGCCAAGCTATGGGATCTAAAAGCAATCATACACAGCAGACTGTTGGGAAACAATCCCATTTATAGAAATTGTATAATGGCCTGGAAAGAGATGAAAAAAGTGCTCATCATTTAACCCACAGGGAAGAGATCACCCTGCTGGGAGGTGGGATTCATCCCAATTGTAAGTCATGACCTATACCCCCAACTAACACTGATCTACTGCTTCTGGAGTTGATGTTACATTTCTGACTTTTGGGGCCAGACATGCAGACATACCAACAGAATCATTCATAAATTCCATCTTCAAAGATCCCCCTGATTCTACTCTTTAGCTACTGGGATCCCTCTACAATTCGGAGCCAATCAGGACTTGGACACAAAGTACATATCTGTCTAACAACAGCCAGCAGCTATATTATGAGACACTGGTTTCCTTACAATGCCCCAAACTTTAACAGACCTGATTAGGGATCTAAAGTAGCTCATGTTGATGCAGAAAAACAAAGACACACACACACACGATACACTCTTAAGTGATGGAAAACATCTAATTTACATTCATACATTGGGGACATCAGTGCTCTAATGAAAACATTCTGATATACTTAATAGTATTTTCTGCCAAAGCATCAAGGTGCTTTGGTCAATCTACATGTGAACTTTGATTATTTAATCACTGGAACAGTACAAAGGGCTCAATTTCCAACTCAAAGTTTATGTAAGCAAGCACAAGTTCAAGGCTATTTTCTAGCTGTTACTCAATTTTATTTCTATGCTGCCTTTTCCTAACAATAATGCGTTGAGATTTGTCTAATCACTTCTCATTGTACAGAGGTTTTTCTTTATAATTTTAGTGTCTGTCTCAGAATATTGAACTTCACAGAGATAAACTTCTTCTGAGTAAAGCCCTGGATTACTCTCGGTCTCTATTCTTGCAGTGGATAAGCCGACACTTAACTACCTGTCTTTTCTTTTATACTTTGTATTCTAGTACTGTATATGCTTATCTCTGAATTATTTTGACTCTGTATTCTAAAGATTAAAAAAAAAAAAAATTTGTTTTGTTTATTATGATTGTGGTGTAGCAAATTCTTTAGAGATTTCGCTGGTCTATGTTATATTTTTTTTTTAAAGCCTAGGCTAGCAAATGTAGGGTATGTGTGGAAATGTACGATATGGAAATATTGTTTAGGTACATGCATCTTATTAAGTTTGATCTCTCTCATTAAGGGCCTATTCAAACTACTGCACTATTTTTGATGTGGTGCATTGGGCAGTCCATTCAAAACAAATGTGCTGCCTTAGTGAAAAACACATTATATGGCATAACAGGCTGGTGTAAATGGGCCCCTCAAGAAACTGTGCAGTGAACTTGAAAGAAATAAAAAGACAGAACATTTCTGAAAGACTAAAGCAAACAAAATGCTCTTACCAGTGATAGAACTTAAACCGTGGTCTCCAATTTGGAGTTCGCAACAATGTTTGTAAAGCACAAGCCAAGTTGACAAACATGTAACACATCAAGAAAAACCTAAAATAAATACAAAGAGAAATAATAATGCAAATCTATGGTTAGCACAGATGAATAATATTTCTGAGAATCTCTCTCAGAAAGCAATACCTTTGCTAGGTGGCTAGTTCTGAGTGCAATTTAATTTCAGCAGTTTATCTGCCTGGATGCTGTTTCATTGTCAGCCACTAGTAGCAAAATCTACATTGGTGCAAATGTAAAGGCCGGTGCACACCTATGCTACACCCGACCGCGCAGCAATCCTGCACGATTCCATGCGGTCAGGAGTCCTATAGGTGTGCACCGTTCGCACTGTGGGTGCCATTATTTTCTAATGGCACCCCAGTCGTGCCTGGCGGATCGCGCAGTTTCCCGCCGCGATTCCACCCGTGCTTCTAAACATAGCCACGCGTCGTGTATCGCAGAAAAAAGGTACTTGCACCTTTTTTCTGCGATACACGATGCGTGGCTGTTTTATTATTTTCCAATGGCACCCCAGTCTACTCACGGGCACAATCGTGGAGAAAAACGTGCGATCAGCCCTGGGCAACTGGGGTGCCAATGGAAAATAATGCCACCCACAGCGCGATCGGTGCACACATATATGACTCCTGACCGTGTGACAAACCGCACAGAATCGTGCATGCATAGGTGTGCACCGGCCCTAACTGTAAATACGAAATCTGAGAGGTGAGCGAACGCCGGTATGTGTTTGCTTACCTCCCGATCTACTGAGCCGACCTGTGACAGTCTCATGGTCACAGGTCGGCTAGAACTATGAGGTGAGTGAAAAGCACTCACCTCATAGTTGTCCTTTAATGGTCTTACAAAAGATATGCAGGTATGGCAGTAAATTAAAACTAGTGAAATCCCTTTAATTCTAGCCCTATTTTAGGTTTCTAATGCATTTTCTTGTAACAAATTATACATCAATTTAGAACAAAAAATTATACAATATGATTAATAGTAAATGTAAATTTCTAATGTTATTTAAAACAAATACATACAAGTTTTATAATGGAAATACATTTACATTTAAGATAAATATCTTAAAACCTGGAAGACAAGAGATGGAAGTCTCTCAAAAGAAAAAAGTTACCTCTATCTGAGCACAATTCAGATGAAAAAATGAAAAGGAGAACTGGAACCTTATATTATTCTTAAAAGTGCCCATGGAAATAAAATGATCATCACAAAATCTGTCCAGTTGTGGGTCAAAAAATATTTCAGGGAAAATGTTCAGGGTAAAAATAGATGAGCTGGGGGGGGGGGCGTGGCCGACCATGGAGGAGTAAGCACGCACAGATTCGAGCTCTGCCGATCCGGTGCTGCACTTCAGTGAACTTTTTAGCTCAGGACTCACCTTATGCTCTATGCCCGGTGCCCGGACCTCGCCCGAGCCTCCTTCTACATCCTGGACCCGAGACATCGCCTCCTACTTCCGCCACCGCCCGACCGAAGCCACAACACAGGCCGGCTGCAACATGCCGCCGAAAGCCGCCCCGGCTAAGAAGGCCGCGGCTGCGCAGCCCCCACTGCTACCCAGGGGCTCCGCTACTCCACCCGACCCTCGGGACCGAAAGCAGCAGACCCTAGGGCGTCCCCCACACTATCGGGGACACGGCCCTCCTCCCCAATCCCCCTGGACCCGCGGGCACCGGCATTCTCAGCAGGCCCTGACCGCGCCAAGGGAGAGCAGTCCCGCCTTCCGTCAGCAGATGGCGCTGCACCGACCGGCCACAGCGAGACACCGCAGCCCATGCTGATGGAGACCGCAACTGAGCCCATCACATCTACTACTCGGGGGACTCGCCCCCCTGCTCAACCAGCGGAACAGAGGGCCGTGGACCCTCGGATATCCTCCACTGTATGCGAGAAGCTACCAACCTCTCTTGATGACTGTGAGCCACAGCCGCCAGCGGTGCACCTTCTTTATTTGTTGTTATACCTATAGATGCTATGTTATCTGTATGATTGTTTGTCTTGATTTGTATTGAAAACCTCTAATAAAATCTGATTGAATCAAAAATAGATGAGGTGGATAGATATGACCCCAAAATTATATTGATGGAGAATCCTGACGACTGGCCAAAAAGTTTGAATTTTAACTGAATTATGTGAAGTACCCAAGCTATCATTGCAAGGTTCTTCTCCTAAGTGGTTGTGCAGTCTCCAGATGCCCACTCTTATGAAGTGGACCATCTCCAACAGTGAAAGGCCCCTGTATCTAAACGCTCTTAGATGAGTCATCACCTGGACTTCTCTGTTTGCACTCCAGAGACAAAGAACTGGAGTAGCCAAATATGTATCCACCAAAACTGACATGCCAATAGTAATTATGGATTGCCAAAAGGAATGGCCCCCCAGCGTTTTGTCAGTACCAAAGTACCAAGAAGCTGCCTAACAATCACACTTGCATTTCAGGTCTACTATAGTTGAGGTTGATAGCTACAGGTTAAAAGTTGTGTTTTTACTTCTAAAGTTGCCACATACAATTTTTTTTAACACATTTCCCTTTGTTTGGCAGTTAAATCACTGTGGCTGTATAACAGTTTAAGAGGAAACACTTTAGATTGTGAAATGTCTGCCGAGATTCTATATTAGGGTCAAAAGTTATTCTTAATTGCTGCAACTTTGCGATAAGGTCCGCAGGAAGAAATTTATTTTTGTGGTGGCTGATTTGTCTGATCATAACAGCATACACAAAATATAAAGCTTAAAAATAAAAAGTGGGCTATTAAAACATTTATTTTGCCAACAGCGTCCAATCAGCTTTCACAGTAATTTATAAGCATAGAAGTTTGCAAAAGTATGGAGTAATTAACGCTTTTTTTTCCTCACCTAGTAAATGTCTTTTAAAATTAGGAAATTAGAACGCAAAACTTACATTGACAAAATTGGTGCAACACTATCCAAAGAAGCAATGAGGATACCAATTTCACAAATGCCCGCTGTCAGTAACAGAGCCCATGTTGGTTCTCCATTTGCTTTTCCATGACCAAACACCTGAATTGAAGAAATGGTAAATTCTTAATAATAAAACAAAACATCAAAACAGCTATTTTGGACATTTCAGGAGGTTCTTGTATTTTGGCAAATAGAAATGTATTTTTTTGTCAAACTGAATAATTTTTTTTTTTTTGCGTACCTGTAAAATTGTTGTCTTGGCGTACAGTACAGGACACAGGCTTCTTTACTCATAGATTATGTGTTATATGCAGGCTCTTTCAGGTGATTGGACACTAACAGAATTGGGGGACAGCCTACCCCATATAACCCCTACTACTCCCAGCAAGCCTCAGTTTTGTAGCAAGCAATGAAAGGGAAAACCCCAGGACAGAGAGGAGGGTGTCCTGTGTCCTTTACAGTACTCAAAGAAAATGATTTTACTGGAAAGTTAAACATTCAATTTGCTTAATAGTATAGTACAGCACACAGGCTGTTACGGGAAAGCAAAACAAACACATGCATTGGATGCGTCTGTGAAAATGATGATTGCCTCACAAGTTAGGTACCTCCATGCACACCAGAATAACAGCAATAATTCTAGTGCCATTATTCAACATTAACTCTAAATCGATGAGCTGTAGAGCCTTTAAAACATAGCCTATGGACAATTGTGGGTACCAATGTTTTTTGCGGTTTCATGGGTGCATGCAATTTTAAATAGTGGACAGGTTTGGTATCTATTGACTCGATGCAGCATCAACTTTTACAATTTTATCAAAGATTAGGTATTATCACTGGGTTTTATAAACTGTTGTGTGACAGTGGGTGACATAAAAATTTAAACTACCCCCATTTTATATTCTTTGATTTCAAAAATATATAAATATCTCTTACATGGCTAGGGCCAGCTTAAAGATAAATTGTAGCTTTCTCTAAACTCTTTTATACATTGAAGGTCCTTCCTGTTCTCCTCAAACACTCTGATCTCAAGAGTCTTTATAGGATGTTCTAAAAGGTCATTTGGGATAGAAGGGCAACTATACATTTTTGTACTTTACAGCGCTCCCCTAGTAATGGTGGACTTAATTTGCCTGATTTAGAGTTGCATAACTTGGCATCATTTACTAGGTATAAAAGAGATAGGATTCAAGGCACCTCACTCAGGGTATACAGATTCTGATTTTGACCATAATATGCTACCTCATACTAATCTGCTGTATGCTCTTCACTTGCATAAGTAGCTTTCACCTCTGGAGAGGATTATGAATCCTCTTCTATATACTAATTGGTTTGCCTTGTACAAAATTTGTACACATTTTTTTCTAAACAGCCATATCTGTCTTTTCCTACCTCTTTGTTAAAACCCTGGACTTCTTGGATAAGTAATCTACTCTCAAAACTAAGGCATAACGAAGGAATTTAATATATTAAGACTTTTATTAACACCGCCACCAAACAAGCATTTTCCTTAAGCATTGTTTAGGAAAAATTTCCCATTTTTATCTACCAACCCGTTTGTTTTTTGTTTAAAGTGGAAGCCAAACACATTGGACAGGAGGGAAAAAAACAGTTTTTCTGTGATTAACACAATGTGTTAGACAGTGTAATTTATTTTTATTGCAGGCTAGCTGGTAGATGTGCTGGGAAATATTTGTGTTTGTACTTTGGAAAGGCCTTTCTTGTGCACCTTACTTGCATAGTTACATAGTATTAAGGTTGAATAAAGACACAGGTCCATCAAGTTCAACCTTTGTGTGTCTATCTGTGTTTGTGCGTGTGTGTATACAAGTCCCTGTGTGGTCTATTTTTTAAGAGTACATGTACCCCTGTATGTTATGGTATCTGCGGAAGGTATCTAAATGATTATTTAGTGATTCAGTACTCTCTGCTGATACCACTGCTTGAGGCAGAGAGTTCCACAATTTAACCACTCTGACTGAAAAGAATCCCCTACCCCTTTTGTGGTTAAATCTTTTGTCCACCAATTTTAGTTGGTGGCCTCTAGTCTTTTTTAGGGAGTTTACAGTAAAAAGTGTATTGCTGATGTTGCCATCACCAATAAACAATTTGTATATCAAAATCATGTCCCCTCTTAATCACTTCACTTTTAGCGTGAATAAGTTTAAATTTAGGAACCTTGCCTCATAGCGTTTGGCCCCTTAATTAGTCCAATCCTTTCTGTGGATTGGTGACCAAAACTGGACCGCATACTCAAGATGAGGCCGAACCAGCGATCTATAAAGTGGCAAAATTATTGCTTTGTCACTAGAGTACATTCCTTTTTTAACGCGAGACAGTACTCTGCTAGCTTTGTTTTCCGCAGCCTGGCATAGCGTGCTATTATTTCATCTGTGGTCGACTACGATCCACAAATCTTTTTGCATTTCTGACTTCCCTAGCGGACCACCCATTAATGTATATTCCGATTGCCTATTTTTAACCCCAAATCATCTCTCTGACAGCTAAAAAGGCAATTTTACATACTGTAAGTGAATCTACTCAGAGCCAACTCCTGTGTTGTTGTTTATTGAAAAAAATGTAGGTATTATGCATGAAGTGGGTGGAAGACTCTCTAAATAGGGAAACCCAGGTCCAAAAATTAAATGAGGTATGGGAATCATTCATACAGATACTGTCTGTTTACACCCAATAAGTAAGAGCACAGTGCTTTTGCTACATCCAACGGTATCCAGCCAGAATATTTGTACATGATCCTCCAAGTCCAACCTTCTGTGCTGACAATGCATAATGATCATTCCCTCTTCTCCTAGGAAATTGGGTAGTAGCCAGCTTCCACCATCGATCCTATTATTTAGTTACTGGACTATCTATAAGAGATTGACTATCTTTTCTGTTAGAATGTGTTAACTTTTCATTATGTCGCCATTTGACTATGTACATTTGTCTTTCTAGGCTGAATATTGAGGCATTTTAAATATCAATTGTTATGCCATATAAAAAGGTATATATACATTGTTAAAAAAAAGGAAGAAAAAGATGATGCAGTGTGCTCCACCATGCTAAGTTAGATCTTACTTTAGAACAAGTATCCCCCTAAAACCTATGTTCCGTTATTTCTATTTTTGGTTTGTTTCTCTCTCTCTCTAGGTCTGTCCTGTTAGTTCTTTTCACCTATTCATTCTGACTATGTTGCTTCTAGGTAGGCTCACATGCTTACTTTTAGTGTTCCCGCTTCCTTAAAGCAGTTTTGAACTCCATTTCACTTCGGAGTCATGGACAATGGAACAGCCCTTTTGGCTTGTAATCCTCTCCTGGGTTGGGGTTTTTGGTATGGAATGCCTTACGAAGTATTTGGACAGGGTCTGCGTTTGGAGTGTTGATAGCATATATTTGGGCTTTTGGGATACACCTAGGAATACGTTTACAATTACCTTTTTTTGGTATGTATGTTTTACTATTTTGGTATTTGTTGTCCTAGTTTTATTTTCTCTTGATATTCAAATTTTAAAATAAATTATATTAAAAAAAAGTTGCACTTTGTGGGTGCCCATCTAAGCATGTGCTTGTGTTACCTGAAGGAAAGGCACGATTCCATCTCTTGCAATGGCTTGTAGAAGACGAGGTGCTCCTGTCAAACTCTGGAGTCCAGCACCACAAGTAGAGAAAAAAGAACCAATAACAATTACCCAAGGAGATGGCCAAGCCAAAGTACCAATCACAAGCTGGCCATTAACGGATTCACCAAATCTGTGAATGAAGTAAAAAGAATTCCATGTTTTGTGTGTATGACTAATGAGTTATTTTTTTATCTTAAATATTTATCGTTATCATAAAATTAACTGCCATCTACTACCGACACCTATAATTCTACAACATTTGAACACTGTTGTGTAACTAGTGGCATTTTATTTTTGGGCCTCTTGCTATCTTGGATTCACCTGTCTTTTTCTACTCTCCCTTCAGCAGGCTAAGCACATCATATATAGCTGCCATCAAAACCATTGTTTAAAGAACTTCACTGTGAGGTCTGTCCAGCACCCAAAACCTCTAGCTGGAATCTTCAAAAATCCTCTGAGATGTACTGATTGTTTTTGACAAAACAAGGTTAGCAATGAAATTAATGAAGGCTCTTTACTACCAGTGGGGCAGATTAGATGGCTTCCTGACAGCTCCACTCTGCGTGGCTTGGGGGAGGACCTGAAAAAGCTTAAGAACATTTGACAGACTGTGGCTTAGCCAAGTTCCAGACCTGGGTTGTGTTGAGGTAGGTAGCAGAATTACATCCCACAGTTATTTATAGATAGACACAAGTAGAAGAGGGGGAGCATGTGGTGGCAATGTTGCAGGGGCTCTAAGAGCCTGCAGATCATTGCCATCAATAACAAGGAAGGATGATTGACAGGAAGGATTAACAGGTAATTTATCTATTAGGAAAATGTAAATAATCAAAGGACATAGATACATGATAATTATTAGGAAGTTTCTACTTTTCTTTTGGGGAGGGGGTTCACTGACACCATTTCCAATTACTTTTTCTCTTTACAATTGTCTAGCTTTTTACTTACTTGTCACGTAGAAGTGAACCTTCGATACATGCACCAAATAGTACTACACAAGACAAATCTTTATTAAGTTATTAAGGAAATTACCATAAAATATTTTACAGTATAAGCAATTTTATTTCCCAAAGCTCATTGCTGAATTAAAAAACATAGCGCATAAGACATTTCTAATTGTATTCTATTAACTCTTTAATTAACCAATGAAAGTGAAAAAGTGTGATTGCTTTTTAATCAAATAAATGTATTCCTTATGAGGTTATCACAGGGTTCATAACGAACTCTACTGCATCTGAAATCTGGGTTGGTTGATACAACAGACATTTTTGAAATCACTTGGGTGTATTAAACTGAACCTTTATAGGTCATCTCAGGGCTCTTCCTCCCTCATAGAAAAGCAATGTTAACCCTGACCCAGTTGGGTATAAATCTTGTGCTTGCCAAGCATGATTCAGCTCGGACTAGACATGCTTGTAGCTTGGTGCAACTTTGTTTTGTCAAAACAAGCAAAATAAAAATGTTATGCAGCACTGGTCTTTAAAAGGTAGAGCCTTTTTTTTTTTAGTTTTTATAGTATGAGGAAGCCACAGAACCTTTTAGGTTTTACATTGTGGCTTGTGTGCCCATTGGGGGGTAGGGTGACTTCCCCTCACATCCTGTTGAGAACAAAAAATAATAGATAATATGTCTAGGAGACACACACTGTAGGTAAGTCCCAGGTGGTATATATGCAATGGAAGGACGCTATAGTCCCCCTCTGTTTGGGCTGTGGTCCCTTCAAGGTACAGAGTGGGTTAACTCACCTGCTACAGGAAGTGTGTTTAAAAGACAGGAAGTGGTAGATAGCAGGTGAAGAGTAGTGTAGTGGAGGCTGGAATTGTGTACTGCTGTGAAAGTGCATGTCAGTATCCTTTGTGGAAACCTGTTGACTGGGAAAGTTACCCTGAAAGTCTGGGACTTCAAGAGGGTGAGACTATTATTTTCTGTTATGCTGAAGAATCGCTGTTTAAGTTTTCCAGCTAGTCAATGAAGACAAACTGTTATGTTATTTTGCTGCTGTGAAGCTATTTAAGTTAATAAACATTACTTTATTTAAAAAGCCTGTGTCCTGCGATCCTGCTGGATTCCCCTAACATTACAATACCTGTAGATTTTTCAGCAACGTTAGAATAATCTAGCTTTTAAATAGTTTGTTCCCCAACTTTATTGCAAAGATATGGGCACCAGGAGTTCATTGTTTGTCATATCCTTTTCTATTTCTACTGCAAGCTCTACATCAAAAAACAAAAAAGATCCTTTATGCAGATGTTGTTTCACTGTATACCCACCAATAAATATTCAAAAAGATACATATAAAAGATGTGGTTGCAATGGCCAATATTGTTCCAGAAGGGATAGATTTCTGAGCATCCTTCAAATCCCCAGAACGATTAGAACCAGCCATGATACCTGCATTAAAACATACAAACAGCTGAAGTTTACTTCTTTAAATTGCATTGTGTGGATTTGAGAACAACCTACGTTCATTCTTACTTTAAGCCCTCATTCACACAAGTAACAGCTGGCCCGTACAGATCCGTGCTGCGTGCATGGCCGTATCGGGCCGCTCCCAGGAAGGACAGGTGCTGCGTGTGATTACACGCAGCAGCCTGTTCTACTCTGTGGGAGTACGCGGCCGTACGGCGCTCTACGCTCACCCGAACTGCACGTCTGTGCAGGTGTCCCTGCTCGGACGTAGACAGGATCTATCCTGTCTGTGTAAGAGTACGGCCACCCGTACGGACGTGTATTTGTTATAAAGATGGTTACTTTTTGTTATGTAATGATTTTCAGCTCTTACTGAATATCATTCTTTAACTACCTCCCGGCTGGCCGTTGTGTATACACGGCCGGCCGGGAGCTTCTTGGATGTAACTGGGCGTGTATACACGTCCTGTTACATCCGCCCGCTCGGGTGCGCACCGCGCGAGCGGGTAATGCCCGCTCTTTGAAAACAGGCAGCGATGCCCGTTAATATACAAGCGATCCGCCGGCTATAGAGCCGGCGGATCGCTTGTATGAGGTCCCGTGACGTGCTCCCTGCCCTCAGCGGTGACCCCCCTCCCGCTGTCAAGCATACTGCCTCTGTCACAGGGGATCAGAGGGAGGTCGGTTCACGATCTTCCTCCGGTCCCCTCTCCGCTGTCAGAATGCTACAGAGCTCTGTAAACCGGCTTTTAACAGCCGGTAAAAAGTAGAAGAAACTGTGAAAAAAGCCCATTGCTCCATGTGCTAGCTATACAGAAGACTAATTAATATTAATATGCAACATGTAAAATTTCATAATTATCTGACTGACAAAAAAAAGCACTGTCTGTAATATAATAAAGATTCAAATTTAATATAAAATCTAAGCCTAGCAGGAAGCAAAAACACAGGCACCAGGGGTGTGGAATTCCTATTGCCCGACGCCCAGGACATGCATTTCCGTCCAAAATCACTAGTAACCAGCCTAATGCTCCCTCCCCCACCCTTCTCTATCTCTGGCTGCTGCCCTCCGCCTGTGTCCTTAATCGCTGCCTCTCTCCCTGCCGTGGTCTTCGGGGTCCATTCTCTGCTCTGCTTAATGAGAGAACTGACAAAGTACGCTGCCTTCCTGTCACAGGAGAACAAGCACAGTACAGTGCTAGAACTCCTGTGTTGGAGGTGACAGAGTCAATAAAGAGAACCTGTCACCTCTAATGTTATTACACAGGGGCTTGTAAGCGCCTGTGTGATAGCAATAAAGTTTGTGTGATAGCAATAAAGTTGAGTGGAAAAAAAAAAGTGTCAAAATAAAAAAATATAAAAATTTAACTTTTTTTTTTAATGGAAATGGATAAACATTTTGAAAATAGAAAGTTGGTAAAGTAAAAAATAATAAAATAAATGAAAATAAAAAATTTTACTAAGTAAAAATAAAGGAAAAATTAAATTAAAACCAACCACGCTGCCGTGTAATCACGCAAAATCGCGCTTGAGAACACTGCCCAGTGCGTGTCCCGAAAAATGGTACATGTACCTTTTTTTAGGGATTGCCACGCGGATGTAACCCTATTGAAATCAATGGGAAAATGGAATTACCTGCACAAATCTGGTCCCCTCTCCCTCCCTGCTATACACACCTTTCGGCGAATGGTCCTTCCCGTCCGCTAGGACAGGTGTACTTTCTGTATCTGTGCCATGTATTTTGAATTTCGCTTGCAAATTGCAAGTACTCGTTGGTTAGCACTGTCACCTGACGGCGCTGACCAATGAGAAGCTCTTCTTAGCACTGCTAAATACGGTTTTGGGTAATATTTTTTTGTATCAGGACAAGTAGATTGTCATGAGGGACAAGTAGATCGGGCCCCCGCTTTAGTCTTGGGACAAGTAGTTTTTTTATGGCTGCTGCCGGTTTCTGCTCACTGCCCCTGATACTCCATCCCTCTTCATCTGTTGCACTATACCCACTGACAATCCTTTTCCAAGATACCTTCCTGCACACCTCACTCACACTATATCACAACTCCCCAGACATCTCTCCCCATTGACACTACATTACTTCCTAGATGCCTCACTCCTTTTCCCACACGCCTTACTCCTACCTTCCTTTCCTGTCATCCATTCCTCTATGAACACCTCACTCCTGTTGACACTCCATCCCTCCCCAGACACCTCATCCCCCCCCCACTTTCCCCCCGAACCCGCGACCATTAATTCCTCCCTACCCTGCTGAATCTTCATCCCTTCCCAAATACCTTACTTCCTGCTCTTGTTCTGCCCTTTCTCTTCCTATTGCTATGTTAAGAGTCTGGGCTGCCAGTACCCTCCATTCATACTACTAAAGCACCCTCCTTGCTCTGTCCACCTCGTGTGGGTGTGCAGATCCTCCTATCAACATCTTGCTGCTTTGACAAGCTAGGTTCTTATCCAGCAAAAAGGGAATTAATCTGTTTTGAGGAATTAAAAATAAGTAGATATTGCCTTCCAGCATGGTACACTTAACTAAGATCGAGTAAGTATCCTATACAAATATACTGTACACTCCCAGTTGTCACAGTTCCCACAGTAGCCGCTCCACAAACCCCACAGCCGCCACTCTACAGTCCTACCCTACACACCATGCCATCACCACTTCAAAATCTAGGGATGAAGCCATGATGAATGGATTTGTTTGTACATTGGTGAATCACCTTTGTCCTCACTTGACCTGCTCACATTCATATGACTTACGGAAGCATATCAGGAATGGTTAACTAACAGTCACTGGCTGCATCGTGTACATGTGGTGTACATCTTTGTCTAGGACAGTGGTTCTCAACCCTTCTAGGGCAGGGACCCCCTTGTAACATTTGCCAAGTTGTGGTGACCCCCAACGGTAAAATTTAGGGTTGACGCGGCTGCTGCAGCGACATCTGGCAGCGTGGCGGGAGAACTGACACTGCTGTGCTAGGTGAGGGCTGAGGAGGACTCTCACCTAGTACAGCAGAAATCACACAGCGACCCCACAGGTTGAGAACCGCTGCTGTAACAGCTAAAATGGCAAACCATATAACACAAGCCGAGGGTGTCAGCTTTTATTATTAATAATAATTTATGATAATCACTAGATGGGGACCTGATGGAGAACTGCAGGTCCCCCTCTACTGATTGACAGCAGCAGTGGGCGGGTGCTAGTTTGCTATTGCAAAGTGAAATAGCCAATAGGAATCTAGCTATGCATTCCAATGCTGATTTATTTATTTTTTTCTGACTTACGGCGGCCGGGGCTCCGATGTCAGAAAT